CGGCCGGGATCGTGGAGCCGTCGGTGCTTGGCCAACGCTGACGGGTCTCCGAAGGTTCTTCCACATTCGGGGCAGGATTTTTGGGATTCCACCAAGGATTCCTCACTTTTCTGGGATCCCACCAAGGATTCCTCACTTTTTTGGGATCCCACCAAGGATTCCCCACTTTTCTGGGATTCCACCAAAGATTCCTCACTTTTTTGGGATCCCACCAAGGACTCCTCACTTTTTTGGGATCCCACCAAGGAATTCCCCCTTTTTCGGGATCCCACCAAGGATTCCTCACTTTTTTGGGATCCCACCATGGAATTCCCCCTTTTTTGGGATCCCACCAAGGAGTTCCCCCTTTTTCGGGATCCCACCAAGGAGTTCCCCCTTTTTTGGGATTTCACCAAGGATTCCTCCCTTTTTTGGGATTCCACCAAGGAATTCCCCCTTTTTTGGGATTTCACCAAGGATTCCTCACTTTTCTGGGATCCCAACAAGGATTCCTCACTTTTTTGGGATGCCACCAAGGATTCCTCACTTTTTTGGGATCCCGCCAAGGACTCCCCACTTTTTTGGGATTCCACCAAGGACTCCTCACTTTTCTGGGATCCCACCAAGGAGTTCCCCCTTTTTCGGGATTCCACCAAGGATTCCTCACTTTTTTGGGATCCCACCAAGGAGTTTCCCCTTTTTTGGGATTCCACCAAGGACTCCCCACTTTTTTGGGATCCCACCACGGAATTCCCCCTTTTCTGGGACTCCTCGTGGACCCGCTGGTGCTTCTGGAAGTGCAGCGTGGAGTTGAAGCTCCGTCCGCACTCGCCGCAGACGTGCGGCCGGCCGCCGGCGTGCGTCCGCTGGTGCCGGTAGAGGTGGGACGTCCTGCCGAAGCTCTTGCCGCACTCGGGGCACTCGTAGGGCTTCTCGCCGGTGTGGATGCGCTGGTGCCGCTCCCAGTGGGAGCTCCAGGAGAAGCTCTTGCCGCAGTCCCCGCAGCGGTACGGCTTCTCGGCGCCGCCGTGGACGCGGCGCCGGTGCCGCGCGCACTGCGAGCGGGCGCCGAAGGCCCGGCCGCACTCCTGGCAGCGGACGGGGCCCTCGCCCAGGTGGGCGCGTTGGTGCTTCACCAAGGCGGGCGCGTCGGCGAAGCTCTTGCGGCACAGCGAGCACTTGTAGGGCCGCAGGCCGCTGTGCGTGCGCTGGTGCCGCTCGAAGTGCAGGATGCTGCCGAAGGCGCGCCCGCAGTAGGTGCAGATGTAGGAGCGGCCGCCGGCGTGGCCGCGCTGGTGCCGGTAGAGGTGCGAGCTCCTGGAGAAGCTCTTGCCGCACTCGGGGCACTCGTAGGGCTTCTCGCCGGTGTGGACGCGCCGGTGCCGAAGCCAGTGGGAGCTCCAGGAGAAGCTCTTGCCGCAGTCGCCGCAGCGGAAGGGCAGATCGCCGCCGTGCAGCCGCCGGTGCGCGGCCAGCTCTCGGTCGCGCCGGAAACTCTTCCCGCACTCCCGGCACGTGTAGGGCGAGCCGCGAAGCTTCTCCGGCGCCGCCGGCTGGGCGCCGCCGTGGCCGCGCTGGTGCCGGTAGAGGTTGGAGGAGACGTTGAAGCTCTTGCCGCAGCGGGCGCAGCGGAAGGGCCGCTCGCCGGTGTGCGTGCGGCGGTGCTTGGACAGGTGCGAGCCGCAGCCGAAGCTCTTGCCGCACTCGGCGCACTCGTGGCTCTTCCGCAGCGCCGCGACGCCGCCGAGGCCGGAGCAGCTCTGGGACTTGGGGCTCCTGCCGGCCGCCGGCGCCGGGCCCGACTCCGGCCGCCCTGGGGATCGGGGAAAAGGGGCAGTTCAGGGCGGTTCCCCTTCTTGTGGGATTTCTAATGGGCTTTTCCCATTTTTTGTGCAATTTTCCTGACTTTTTACTGGGTTTTTCCCTTTCTTGGTGGGATTTCTAATGGGGTTTTCCCATTTTTTGCAGAATTTTCCCGATTTTTTACAGGTTTTTCCCTTTCTTTGTGGGATTTTTAATGGGGTCTTCCCATTTTGTGCGGAATTTTCCC